AGGTGTGTATTGTACCTGTACAGGTGTGTGTGGTCCCTGAACAGGTGCAGGTCTAGTGGGCCCAGCAGGGTGGAGGAGGACGTCACGGCTGCTGTGGGGTCAGAGGTCAGGGCTCCCCGTCTGAAGGGGTGTGATTGGTCGAAGGCGGAGACAGCGATGGACGACCGCGTTCTGGCTCCTGGACCCAGAAACATCCTCAACTCTATTCCTGAACCAGACCAGAACCAGACCAGAACCGGACCAGCTCACTGACCCCAGACTGTCCCACACTGACCCGGTTCTGTTCAGGTTGTGTTCCGGCTCTGTTCAGGTTCTGCCAGGAACAGAACCGGCACGCCAGAAGCTCCTTTCCCGCCTTTGGCTGCCGGCCCAGTTCTGCTGACCCGGTTCCGTACCTCTTGTCGTCATGTTGACGGCCCGGTCGCTGATGGCCGCCTCGCTGGGCTGGAGGTCCAGAAGCGGCCGGCTGCCGACGCCCATCGCCAGCAGCTCCTTCAGACGCAGCTCTGCACACAGAGAGCCGGTTCTGGTGCTGCTGACCCAGTTCTGCTGGTTCTGCCAGACCCGGTCCTGCCTCCCCCCACCTTTGCTGCGGGTGGCCTGGCCCCACAGGATCCGGGTCAGGTCTTGGGTCCAGACCCGCTTGGCATCGGCTGTGGAGGCCTGCAGGATGAAGCTCTGGTTCCTGGAGCTCCGCCTCCGGATCCAGAGCTCGAAGCTCCGCCCACCGTCCCCCGAGGACTCCGTCAGGCCCACGTCTGAGGTCTGAGGGCAGAGGCTGTCAGAACCGGACCGGGCCCGGAACTGGAGCCGGACCTGAAGCAGAACCAGGCTCGGAGAGGAACCTGACCTAGAGCAGAACCGGAACTGGAGCGGCCCTGAAGCGGAACCAGACCAGACCTGGAGCCGATACTTGAGTGGGTTCGGTTCTGTTCCAGGTCCGGTTCCGGGGCCGGTCTGGGTTTTGTTCTGGTTACGGTTCTGCTTCGAGTCTGGTTCCGGTCCAGTTCCGCTTTTGGTCTGGTTCTGGTCCCAGTCCGGTTCGGTTCGGGTATTACCTTGAAGCAGAGCTTGTACAGGAACACGTCCAGGCCGCCCTCCACCTTCTTGGGTTTGCTGAAGAGCACGAGCTCCTCGAACAGGAAGACACGACGCTGACACTTCCGAAGGCCACTGCAGACAGTGAACTCATCCTGACGGATCAGCTGGCCCTGCTCCTTCAGGTTCACCTGACACCACAGGGAGCATTTAGCGGCTCCAGGAGGCTGCTCAGAAAAACATGGCGGCCAGCAGCTTCCCTCTGTTCTCTGCAAGCTTCCCTCAGCCAGCAGCTAACAGCCTCCCTCTGCTAACGGTCAGCAGCTTCCCTCTGTTCTCTGTTAGCTTCCCTCTGCTAGCAGCTAATAGCTCTCTCTGCTAGCAACTTCTATCTGGTAACAGCTAGCATGCTCCCATCTGTTCTGTGCTAGCAGCTTACTGCTTCCCTCTGCTAGCGGCTAACAGCTATCTTCTGTTCTTTGCAAGCTTCCCTCTACTAGTGCTAAAAGCTTTCCTTTTTTTTTGTTTTGCTAGCTTCCCTTTGCTGGCAGCTAAAAGCTTCCCTCTGCTAACGGCTAACAGCTTTCTTCTGTCCTTTGCAAGCTTTCCTCTGCTAGCAGCTAACAGCTTCCCTCTGCTAGCTTCGATCTTAGCTAGCCTCCTTGGCTAACTGATGCTACGATACTGCGGTTTGTTCTTAGTGGATGTGAGACAGTGGCAGTGTTACAGTGAAAACTGTCCCTGTGAAACAGACTCACATCACAGTCCCGGATGGCGTCCATGGCCAGCAGGTCGTTGCCGTGGCGAAGCTGGAACTTGACCATGCTGGTGGCAGCCTGCAGTGCGGTTAGCTCCGCCTCCTGGGCCCCGCCCACCTCCCTCATGAGGTCGGTGAGCAGCAGGGCGTACTTCCCCATCCTCTGGATGGGCTTCAGCAGGTAGGACGACAGGTCCAGCTTATCTCCCAGCTCCAGCTGCTTCCTCTGGGCGGGGACATGGGCGTCAGAAAGCAGGGGTCAAAGTTCACTGAGTCACAGGAGGCTGCGGCTCACCCTGAAGAAGGCGTGGCCGTGGGCGGCGAGCAGGGTGTCGGAGCGGGGCTTGTTCCTGCTGTACAGGGCGTAGAGGCTGAACTGCTCCTGCTGCTCCACACAGACACACGCGTCAGGCCACACGCACACAGGAAGTGACGTCACACACCCGGCGGGGGGACCCTACGTGTCTCAGGAAGCAGTGCGGCGCCCTCAGCGGGTGCTTCCAGCACGCCTCCAGCTCCCGTAGGAAGAACTGGCTGTGGAAGTCCAGCAGCTTCTCCAGGTTTCCGAACAGCGCCGCGCGCTGGCCCCGAAGGCCCTGTGGCAGGTCGGCGCGCTGCAGCTCCGGGACGTAGTGACGCAGGACGTAGCGCAGCGAGCGCACGTACTCCCGTTCCGTGGTCACCATCTCCTCCACGATGTGGCACAGCCTGCTGTACGGAGAGTACAGAGCTCAGGGCGGCTGGCAGAGAGGGCCAGAACAAAGCCTGTTTAAGCTAACACTGCTAACTGCTAGCTTAAACACGCTAAAAGAAGCCATTAACTTATTGACTGACAGCCATTTTCAGAACAGAGAGTCCCATACTACCAGAGTTTTTTGACCATTTTGACTGATTTTTCAAGAGCCACAGAATAGTTTGTGCTATGACTATGTAAACACCGAACACACCAAAAGAAAGAGTAGACTCTCTTCTTTCATCAGGAAAAAAAAATTTGTTTCTACCTTATTCCGTTCTTCCTCGACTTGCGTCTCACCGGCGACATGTTCTCTCATAGCGAACCGTTACCTTTTTCTTATTTGCCTACAATCTATGCTCATCTCCCATCAAAAGTGGCACTGCCACCTAGAGGGTCACTTTGTTAGTACATACTCTGTTTACGGACAAGCTTTAGCAGATCGTCCCCCAGCCACTCTCGTTGAAAAACATAAAAGACGTCTATAGACGTCTTTGGCAGTCAACGGTTTTATTTGAATTGACGTCTATAGACGTCTTTGGCAGCCAATGAGTTAACTACAACATGGCGTTAGCTAAAAGAGCCCATTAGCTAGAAAACGGCGTGTGTTCTAATGCACTTTTTGTTTAAATGTGTTGTTTCCTTCAAGATGTGATAAGTTTAAATGGAGTGTCACCCTCAATGCTGTAAGCTTAAATATGTTATTAGCATAAACGCATTATGAGTTTAAAGATGCTAGCTTATAGAAGCCGATACAAATACACGCAATTAGCTTATTGATGCTGCATGCCTACAGACACTATTAGCTTAATGATGTTGGTAGCCAACACAGAAAATTTGCTTAATGATGATGCTAGCCAACGCACACAATTAGCTAAGTGATGCTGCTAGCCTACATGTGGCTGGGTTCTGATTGGTTGTAACTGGGACTGTGGATCTGGTGCTCTGGGTGGCTACCTGGGGGCGGGGTCTGGCGTCGCTGGCGTCCTGGGGCTGGTGTCTCCAGCCCAGCTGTGAGGGGGTGTCCTGGTGTCTCCAGCCCAGCTGTAGGGCACCGACCTGGGGCTCCGGCTGGCCGCCTCGGTGCTGCTGACCTCCAGGCCGCGGATGAAGACGCCGGTGTTGCCGCGGCGCGCCGGCTCGCTGAGGGCGGGGGCCGGGAGACGGGACGCCTCAGGGCCGGAGTCCAGGCTCTGGGTCTTTCTGAGCAGCTGCCTCCTGCAGCCGGGGAGGGGGCTGAGGCTGGGGGAGGAGCTGAGGCGAGGGAGGGGCGGGGCTATATGGTCGGGGGAGGAGCCGACGCGAAATATGGGAGGGGCCAGTTGGTCAGGGAAGGAGCTTAAGTGGGATGGGGACGGAGCTAGTTGGTCGGGGGAGGAGCAAATGTGGGACGTGGGCGGAGCCACCTGGCCTGGGGAGGAGCCAATGTGAAATAGGGGCGGGGCTAGTGGGTCTGCGGAGGATCTGAAGCGGGACGGCGGCGGGGATAGTTGGTCGGGGGAGGAGCTAAAGTGGGACGGGGGCGGGGCCAACCGGTCGGCTGACTCCTCAGAGGAGCTGCGGAACAGGCGGCGCAGCAGGGGCCGGGGGGGGGGCAGGGGAGGAGGAGGCGGCCCCCCCCCCCCAGAGGCCAGACAGGGTCCTCCACGAGGAGCTCCTGCTGACGGCGGAGTCGGAGCGGCGCCTGTGGGCGGAGCCTCTGGTCCGCAGCGCCACCTCCAGCCTGTGGCGGAGCGCCGTCTGGGCCTCCTGACAGCTGGACTGGGCGGCGCCCAGCTGGCGCACGCCGCGCTCGCCCAGCAGCTCGCTGGCCTCCGCCATCATGAGCTGGAAAAGTTCCTCTGGGATGGGCGGATGGCTCCGCTGGTAGTCCTCCAGGCAGCCAATCACAGCGCTGCACTTGTCTGGCGCCGTGCAGTCCTCCATGCTGACCCCGGCCAGGCAGCGCATGGCCTCCAACGCCCACCCAGAGGCCTGGTCACAAAGAACAGCAGCCAGAAGGCAGGCCAGCAGCTGGATTAGCAGCTGGATCCAGACTCTGGACCCTAAGACTCTGGACCCTTGACTGTCAGACCCCCCAGGAACCGTGGAGCCCCAGACCAGTACCTGGTCCAGGAAGCTGTGGAGGCGGACGGCCCGCTCGATGTTCTTCCCGGTTCTGTTGACCCGCTCAGAGAAATCCTGCATTCGGGCCCAGAAGGCGTGAACTTTGACCTCGTAGACGTGGAGGTCAGCAGAGGAGACGTCCTCCCAGCAGTCCAACCGGGCCAGCAGCGCCTCGGCCCGTTGGCACTGGTCCTGCAGGCAGGGACAAGGTCACAGAACCCTCTAGAACCAACCAGAACCACCACAGAATAACTTAGAATCACCCTAACCCACCCAGAACCAACCAAAACCACCCAGGACCAAGTAGAACCAACCAGAACCACCTCAGAAACACCCGGAACCAAGTAAAACCACTCAGAACCACCCAGAACCAAGTAGAACCACTCAGAACTCAGTAGAACCACCCAAAACCACCTTAACCCACCCATAATCACACCAGAACCACCACAGAACCGACCAGCCCAGCAGCATTTCCCAGCATGCACTGCGTACACAAGCTGCTCTCTGGAAGTCCCTGAAGTCCTGCTGGTTTCTGCTGCAGCGCTCCAGAGAATCCGCTGGTTCCTCCAGAGTCTGCAGACGGGGCTCCCCGACCTGCTCGAGCCACGCCGTCACCTGCAAACGCACAACAGACACACAAGAGACTCACAGCAGGAAGCAGACGCACACAGACCCGCTCAGACCCTCCCGGGGGATCCGGCCAACTGACCTGGCTGAAGTCCTGCTCCAATCTCCTGAAGTCCAGCATGAAGCGGAGCTCCTGGGTCCTGGTGTTGGAGAGTGTCACCAGGCGGTGCAGCAGCTCGTCCACCTGCTCGTACAGCGCCGCCGCCGCCGCCAGCGCCGCCCGCTGCTCCCCCGAGGCCCCGCCCTCCTCCCGCCGCAGCCAGGCCAGCGAGGCCCCGCCCTCCTGCTGCAGCTGGACCAATCGGCTGTCGGCCAGGATGCCGCTCATCACGGCTCTGCAGCCGGACAGCAGCAGCTCGGCGTCCTGGAGGGAGCAGAGGCATTACGAGTCGATACCGGGGTGTTACAGAGGCGTTACCGGGGCGTTACAGAGGCATTACCGGGGCGTTACAGAGGCATTA